CAACATACAATTTTACGGGACAAAACTAGAATCTTATCCCAACCAATTGATGTTACAACTTTAAATATCCGTGAAATGGCAAAAATTAAAAAGAAAAAACAAGTATTAAATCGGGATGAAGGGCCATCGAATCACTTAACTGATACGTGCATGACGTATTGTAAACGATGACCGGTGGTCTCTATAGATAACTTTGAAATTTAATACTCCATGACATGCAGAAAGCATAAATGGTCTTGTAAATAACTCCTGAAGACGACATAAAAGCGCGTCGAAACATGACATGAAGAGTGTTTTTAAGTGAAGTCCGTTGACGGCTTTATTAAACTTTTAATTGTATAAGTATGAAACATTGCATCTTAATCATTTACTCGTTTTTAAACATTATACCGTTCATTTTTCAGTTTCTGTGTTCACCTGAACGACACCTTACGCACACAACAGATTCGTTTGGTTCAGGGTATAACCGACCTTAATTTTGGGTTTCAAACTAGAGGGAAGGTAAACAGTTAATAGCTGTAACCAGTCTAAAGCGGCTACTTTTAACCGAACAACGAATGTCACTATTGTACCTTGTCCACAGATGAACGTGCGAAGAGTATTCAATAACACCACATCTCCAACTTAACACTAGCGAATCCACAGTCTGATAAGCTAACCACTATACCACATTTAAACCAGACTGTTGAGTGTCGTCTGTCTGTTTCAAACTATATAAATCATAGCAATATCTGAAGAACAACAGTAAAAGGTAGACAAATCACAAATGGAACGATAGCGTTCGCGTCTCCGTACACATATATTTAGGAATGTTTTTTTTAAGCTAGATATCTTAACCCTTGAGATAGACATTTATAGCTATTTTCAAACGAATGAAATGGAAACTAAAATTATTGAAACTGATATTTATTTGGTCATTATCGTTCATAGAAATTAATCGGAATTTTATTTGATCACCTGTTGATGCACTTCCGTTCATATCATACTCTCAAAAATGAAAAGGAAATGCATAAAATGTCATTTCCTTTCATACGTGTCACTTCTTAACACCTTTATTTTGTCTTAACGTACTTATTTTTTTTGTTTGTTTTGTTTTATTTAATTAAGCAAAAAGCTACACAACGGACTCTCTGTGCTATGCTCACAACAGGTATCGAAACCCGGTTTCTAGCGTTGTAAGTCCGCAGACACCCCGCTGTGCCACTGGGGACCCGTACATACTTCTTTTGCTTGTTTGTTTGTTTGTTTTGAATTTCGCGCAAAGCTGCACGAGAGCTGTCTGCGCTAGCCGTCCCTAATGGATCAGTGTAAGACTAGAGGAAAGGCAGCTAGTCATTACCACCCACCACCAACTCTAACTCTTGGGCTACTCTTTTACCACCGAATAGTTGGATTGACCGTCACATTATAACGCCCACACGGCTGAAAGGGCGAGCATGTTTGGTGGGACGGGGATTCGAACCCGCGACCCTCATATTGCGAGTCGAGTGCCTTAACCACCTGGCCATGCCGGGCCTGTACATACTTCTAAAAAGGAAAAGTAATAATACAAAATATTATAAGACAAAACAAACTATTGAGATACCCGGAATTTGGGAAATTTTGTAACTTATGTATAAGCTCCCTACAAAAATCTATATTCTAACATAACCTCCATATAAAAATCTATATTCTAACATAACCTCCCTACAAAAATCTGAATTCTACTTACGTGAACATTATTTTCATGTTCGTAAATCTGAAAGTGTAATTTTAGCTTACACATTTATTTATTTTTAGTCATCTTTTTCTTTTACAAACTGCATAAACATTCAAGACTTTCTCAATTGATCTCGAACACAATCTAACATACCACCTTATGACTTTCACAAAAAAACAATAAGCGCATTTCTTTTGGAAGTTTAACACATACCCTCGTATTATCTCGATATACAGTCTAAACAAACACTATTATGTCTCGACATAGCATAATCGTAACAAACACCACCGTATATCTTCCCTCACACAATATTACACATACCACCGTATATCTTCCCTCACACAATATTACAGATACCGACATGCATCTTCCCTCACACAATATTACACATACCGACATGCATCTTCCCTCACACAATATTACACATACCGACATGCATCTTCCCTCACACAATATTACACATACCGACATGCATCTTCCCCCACACATAATAATGCAAATACCAACGTATATCTTCCTTCATACAGCATTATAAATACCATCCTCATTTAGTAATGTAAATTTATAAAAGCCCCTAGCTGCAATAACAAGCCACTTAGAGTCAGATTGCTACAAGGGAAATAACTCGATAACTTGCAAAGACGAACTGCTAATGGATACAGTATTGGTTGAATGAGTGTAGGTTATTGTGTCTTCTAATACCCAAGTCCATTGTGGAAAAATGAACTAATAAAACAGAATACCACTAGAAGTGCTACATGTAATATGCCAAACTGCCATTAGTTAATCATTCTTCAGCCTATTTAAAATATTGAAGGATATAGCGAAACATAATAATGCATATGACATTAAATACATTACTCAGAATTTTCATAAGAACTCAAGACTCCAGGCCAGTACATATCTGTCCCTCAAGCATCATTCTCATCATTTCAGATTTATTCAAGCGAATTCATATTAATGTTCCTCTGTGATGGAAATGGTAGATTCTTGACGTCACTTGCCTTAAATCACTCCTGGATACACAGTGTGGAAACATGGCGTATTATCGTACTGAAAGAAATGGGCCCATACCACAATATTACTACACAAGCCCTTGCAACTAGGATAATTAAGTTGCCATCAAAATCGTACTCGTCTATCTGAAACAATTTCTAGCGGGATTCATTGCTCTACATGATAGTTTCCATTGTTTCTAAGCTTAGTTTTGAGGCTAAAGGCTCCATGACAGCTGATGCTTTGCATTCACGCCCGTGAGCTTATGGGCTGCAGCCCTTCTATAAAATTCAACAGCACGATCTTATAGATCTTTTTGTTTACAGTGGCCTGAAATTGGAGCTGCTTTTCAAGAGGAGCGACAGTCTAATTTACTAGAGGTGTACCAAATGTTGGTAGCAAGTATTAACAAAGGGATCTAGGCCTAAGTTTAACGTCAAGCGTGGGTTAATTCTCTTTCAAATTTAGCCCCAAGTGGCGAAAGATGACGTCCACTTTCTTAAGGTGTACTGTTCCAATACTCGTGGTAATATAGCAGAGTCCAAATACACCATCTGTTAAAATGAAATTGTCATTATTTATGAAGATAGTTTACAAAACTTCATTACCAAATATACATACAAAACTTTGTACATTACGGAAATTATGCCATATATCGTGATTATGCATTGAGAATTAGATAGCTTCCGCCACTCCAACAATCACATAACAACATAATATGGAAATACAAGTCCGTGTATGATCGACTTGCGACTCCTGAGTAACTAAGCTAGGATGGTAAATCAATATGTCCTCTCATTCGAAGTATCCAATTTACAATCATACCAATCAGAGTAACTAAGCTAGGATGGTAAATCAATATGTCCTCTCACTCGAAGTATCCAATTTACAATCATACCAATCAGAGTAACTAAGCTAGGATGGTAAGTCAATATGTCCTCTCACTCGAAGTATCCAATTTACAATCATACCAATCAGAGTAACTAAGCTAGGATGGTAAATCAATATGTCCTCTCATTCGAAGTATCCAATTTACAATCATACCAATCAGCATTTTATTCGAACACGTAATAAGTGTTTTTAAGCACTTTAAAAGAAATGAACGATTTCAGTAACAGTTTAAAAAAAAAAACATTAGACAATACTGTTTGCTTGTTTGTAATTAAGCACAAAGCTACACAATGGGCTATCTGTGCTCTGCCCACCACAGGTATCGAAACCCGGATTCTAGCGTTGTAAGTCCGCAGACATACCGCTGTGCTACTGGGGGGCTAGACAATACTAATACTATTATTGTGTATTTACGCGTGGCATATTATTTGGTAAAAAAGAAATAGTAAATTACAAGAGAGATAAAAAAATACTCCATAGCAATGCGATTTGGTTTTTCCACCAAATTATAATTTAATGCCATCTGATTGGTTATCGGTGTCTTGCAATTCCAATGCTTTTTAGAAAAGTATGGAAATTACGAAACAGTATCTTTAAAAAAAAACAAACAGAAGAAGGGTGGGTAGGTGTTGCAAAATGAGGAAAAGTGCAACTTAATCCTATGATATAATAATAAAATGATTGTGGCTCATATAATCAGACACAATATTCCTTGACATACAAATATGAGCCATATTCTAACTTAGACACTCAGCTGTTGATGTATAATTGCTATGGTTCCTGTAATTATAATATATAACCACAATGACATATACTACTATTGTTAATTTTTTCTATAAAATATGTCAGCCTAAAACAAAAACAATTTCTATTTATAGGGTGGGGCAAAAGTTACAATACTGTTCGTACTATACGGTTTGCAATTGGAACTAAAGAAAATATTACGAAGACAGTTGAAACCAATTTAACTATTGTTGTTTTGTTTTTTAGTTAGACATTTAACGATGTTCCAAAAGAAATGACTGTGTGAGACATTTTTGCTCCACCCATACAACCGCTGTCGTCCATGTCTTCATAACACAACTCTAGCTAAATATAATTATCACAGTTAATATCCATCTATATAATTGTCTGCTGATATACATCTACTATAACTCACCGGAAAGTTTTCAGAAGACAGCTATTTGGATGATTACAGGAATGGAAAGGTTATCTTACAGGAATAGGTTCAGATCTCTTAACATATTTTCTTTTAATAAAAGAAGGGTAAAAGGTTGTATTATTGATGTTGATAAGATTATTCGGGAGATGGATAGGGTAAGGGCCTCAAATTTCTTATTGTTGTATTCTGAGGACAATAGGACAAGAGGACACAAGTTTAAGATTTAGAAAAGACAGGCTAGCTCCAGCAAGTAAGTTTTATTTTTCTAACAAGGTGATTGACTTATAGAATGAGTTGCCGTCGGCAGTAGTGTAGGCCAATACTTTACAGGAGTTTAAGAGAGGAATCAATGACTTCCTGAAGAATTATTTTTTTTCTTCGTTTCTCAGTGTGTAAGAACAACCTTGAAGAGCCAAATGGTTCCTTGTTGTCCGAATGCTATGTTGTCGTTTTTTTCATCAGAAACATATTAAGAATCAATCGTTGTAAAAAATCAATTTCAGACACTTGAAATATATCTATACAATTAGTTCAATGTATATGACAAAACTAACGCAACTTGGACAAACAACAGTAATTTTAAAGTTTAATTGAATGGTTGAAATCATAAAAACATAATTCAAACACTACAAATCCAGAAAAAAGTATGAAAATACACTTGTATACAAAACTATTGAATAATTCGTTAATATACAACCCAACGAACAACGGTGTATGCCCACATCTCAATAAAGAAAACGAATAATAAGAGTGTTTAGCGTGAGGCGTGTATCTATAGCAAATCCCACAGTGAGGTTGTTTATAAAAAATAAACTGTCCACAAAAACAGACGTTGTTCTGCAATTAATTATTTCACAAGAAATAGGTTGTTTTTATAATGATAGAAATATTAACTGTCCACAAAAACAGAGGTTGTTCTGCAATTACTTATTTGACAAAAAATAGGTTGTTTTTATAAAGATGGAAATATAAACTATCCACAAAAACGGAATTTGTTCTGTAATTACTTACTTGACAAGAAATAGGTTGTTTTTATAAATATGGAAATATAAACTATCCACAAAAACAGAATTGGTTCTGTAATTACTTCTTGACAAGAAATAGGTTGTTTTATAAAAAAAATAAAGACTGTCCACAAAAACAGAGGTTGTTCTGTAATTACTTACTTGACAAGAACTAGGTTGTTTTATAAAAAAGTAAAAACTGTCCACAAAAACAGAGGTTGTTCTGTAATTACTTACTTGACAAGAA